GCCACCCCATCCCTGGAGATGTCCAAGGCCAGGCTGGATGGGGCTTGGAGCAGCCTGGTCTGGTGGAAGGTGTTCCCTGCCCATGGCACAGGGTTGGAACAAAGGGGCTTTAAGGTCCCTTCCCACACAAACATTTCCATGATTCTATGACTGCACATGGCAGTGCCAGAGCAAGGACAGGGCAGCCACCTGAGTCTGTACCATTCTCCAAGAACTTGGGCACAGCTAACTCTTGAAGCCTAATGCAGAGGGTGAGGGACCTGTCTGCCACCTAAATCCAAAACATTTCACAGCTGACTTTTGACTCAGCAGAGAGAGAGACAGAGAGGCTGATACTGCAGAAGAGCTTGGGGTTGCTCTCTGGATGACTATGGGAGTTCAGCAGAGTTTCTGATGAAAAATAAAATTTTTCAAGAGTTGTGATGAGTTGAATCCACAGCAAAAAGCTTAAAGGCTAGTGTGAGAGCTAGGATTAACACTGAGAAGGTACAGAGAGTTTCCCAGGAATTAAGCTCCTTGAGATAACCAAGTCTTGCACTAAAGCTGTGACTGGTAGCAAGAAGAGGCAGAGGGACTGGCAAGGCTGAATGGAGCAGGAGAAATTGCAGAGACATACTGTTGTGGCTGCCTCCACCCACCAGGACAATGGCAGAGCAGGGAAAAATGCCACCAGTGTCCCCATGGCCTGGCTTGACAGTGGCTCAGCAGAGTTTTGCACACAGGTGACTAACAGGATGGTGTGAGACTGTGAGCTTGGCCAGAGTTTTCTTGGGAACACCAGATTTTGCTGCAGCAAAAAATAAGGACAGAACACAAGGAGGACATTTCCAAATGTCACCCCAGACACTTACGTGAAGTCACTGTATTGCTGTTAGCATTGTTACTGATTAGAAAAAAAATGCACGCTATATGTAGAGACGGGAAAAAAACAGAACAATGATATTTATAGTAATGAATTACTACCACAAAAGACATATGCAGTGTGTCCAAGTAGGTTAATAAATGCTTGGATAGCACTGAATTGAAAGGAGCAATGCTTAGTGTGGTCAAAAGTGCTGAGCATTGATTGCAGAATCATAGGGTACAGTTGTTTGGAAGGGACCTTAAACGCTAATTCCTTCTACCCCTCTGCCATGGGCAGGGACACCTTCCACTATTCCAGTTGCTCCAAGCCCTGTCTAGCCTGGCATTGGACACTCCAGGGATTCAGAGGCAGCCACAGCTGCCCTGAACACCTTGTGCTAGGGCCTCCTCACCCTCACAGGGAAGATTTTTTTCCTAATATCTAAGCTAAACCTACTCTCAATCTGAACCCATTCCTCCTTGTCCTGTCGCTACAGGCTCTTGTAAATAGTCTTGTCCTGTCCTTCCTTTCAGTTCCCTGTAGGTACTGGAAGACCTTGTCTCTGTGATGCCATCATGGAATGAGCAGAGGACTGAAATGGCATGGGAGGAATCTGGAGACACCTTTCAAGGGATGAGGAATCACACAATCTTTCTGGCTTGAAGACGCTGACAGGCCACTGCTCTGAGCTGTGTGCAGGGAACAGAATGAACTGAGGGAAGCACCAGCCCTGGTGGGAAGGATGAGGTCTTGCTCCAAGATACAGGTTCAGGCAAGAGGTAGAGCCCGTGTGAATTGGGCAGAGGGCAGAGTGAGCAGTATTCATGCCTGAGCTCACAGCTCAGCACCCAAGCTCAGACTGTACATCTGGGATTCGGCTCACGTCAAGCTGTGAGTGGCAGCCCCTGAAGAGCTTGTGAATGCTCTCTCCTACTGATGGTGCAATGGGAAGGCCACATCTTTAACCAGGGGACAAGGCAAGGAGGTGGGAAACACTGAAATCTTCCCATCTCAAGTGGCCAGAGTGTATCTATGGGCATCCTGCCTTTCTCTGTGCTCACGGAAGGGATCTTTCACCATAATCTGCAGAAAAAAAAAAATGTTCTGTGTCTTTTTTTTGGCCCATGTTGGCTGAAAACACCCATAAACCACTAATTGCCACTGCTAAAAGGGAGCTGGCAGACATGAAATTTGCCCAGATTACCCAGATTACTATTTTATGTGTAGAAATATGATTTTTGAACTGACTGTGGGGCAGGTTGCAAGCTGGTGTCAGAGAGATGAGAAACCATAATGTTGCAGAGCTCAGACATTTTTTTGTAGCAGTTTACTTTAAAAATAAAATAAATGGACTGTTGTGTCTCAGACAAAGTCTGAGATTCGTTGAGCAACAAGCCTGAGTGAGAGACAAAGATTTATACAGATTTTTCTTAATAGTTTGTCAGGCATGACAAAGTTACAGGCAACTTCAGCCAAAAGGCTTAAGAAAGAAGGACCCCTCAGAGTGACAGATTCAATTATGCTGATGACAGAAGACTCTGTTTTTTCCTGAACTGATACTCTCACTTTGGTGAGATAGCCTTACCCATTACCTGGGGGATTCCTCCACATCAGAGTTAGATGGTCCTGACAGATGATGGGCAGGATTCTGAGCAATTTGCAGAAAAGTCCAAGTCTGCATCCAGTCCCCATTAGACTCTATGCAACAAGTAGGTAGGAAATGGCTTTACATTAATGAAAAGGAGAGCAGAATCAGATCTGATTGGTGCTTGTGGGATATCACCCACAGAACATGTTTAGCCACCTGCAAATACTCTTGCTGCATGAAATGAAGCAAGGAGACCCTTTAGGATGTGTGTCAATCTCTGTAACCCAAAGAGACAAGGCTTTGCAGAAGTTCACAGACACACAGCTAAACACAAAACAGTGCTGTGATTGCGGTCCCTGGGTTACCACCACTTCCTGAACACCACGGAATTCACACACACAATGAAAATCAGAAGCCAGAAACAACAGTTATTTCACATAAAATTGCTCCACAATCCCATGAGTGAAGGGTGTGTGTAACCAGATGTGCCTGAAGAAAGAACAGGCAGCACCTTCTGCAGCAGCTGGGAGGAGAGGAGGCAACAGGCTCTGGGCTTTTCTTCTGTCCTAGAACAGCTTTGGCAGCACATGGGGATGGTAAAGCCACCAGGTGCTGGGACATAACATTACCGGGAAAAACAGACTCCCAATCCCAGTAAGAACTCCTGTGATGGTACCACAGTGACTACAAGTTACAGGACAGAGCTCCTCAGAAGTTATTTCAAACACTGCTAATTGTTTGGCTGTAAGGTTTTGAGGTCACAAGCTATAGAAATGATACTTCCATGTTTTGGGTGGGGAAGGAAGGTAGGATCTCAGGAACTGTGTCTTTAAGTAGCTTAGTCCTGGAGACAGGAAGTCTGGCGATGGGCTGCAGCAGTGCAGATTTTATTATGCAATTTCTCTTGGAACTAGTCCCCGAATAAAGGAGTTATCCATTAAGCACCTGCTTCACCCTCCCTCCTGAGCACCACAAATTAAGGCCTCAGGAATCCTTTCAAGGGCTTACCCATCAGTGGGGGAGCAGGGAGCCACGCACTGGGGTCCAGACTGGGAATACTGGTGTATTTGATGTATAGTGTCTTTCAAAGAGTTTCTCTTCATTAAATCTTCCTACTCTGTTTGAGCTTATTCCATGTTTGGCATAACTAGTGAGTGAGGCCATCCAAGTCTTGCAGTACTGACACCAAAGGGCTGTGGTACCCAGGGTACTCTTAGGCCTTCAGGGTATTTAATCACAACCCTCTTTCCAAGGGGCAGCTGGTAACAGCCAAGGTCTTCCTCTCCCTCCTGCCATTAACCCAGTGCTGTTCTGATCCCATGGCAGGGGATCTGATCCCCTTAGGGGCCATCCTAAGGGGACATTGCAGCACAGAGAAGCTGCAGGACACAGCAGCAGTAGGATCCTCCTCCTCTGCCCCTGCTGCCTGGGGTGAAGGACTCCCTCCCTCCAAAGCCCCTCCTTTCCCTCCCACTCTGCTCCTGGGACTTGCAGCCCCGCTTTGACTTCACTGGTGTGGCAAGCCTGGCACTTGCTGTAAGATAGAGGAGTCTCCCAGCTAATCATGGCCTCCATACATCCTCTGCTTTTCTCCCAACAGTGGGTACACAGCATTTCCCTCAGAGGCACCGACACAGCAGCTCCTGTCACAGCACTGGGGCTGTCAGGGCCCCTGCCTCAGCAGCTGTGTGCTCAGGGCTGCAGTACTGCTGTAACACAGGTTGTTCCCCAGCACCTCTGGAGAGGGGCAGTAGCTGTGGGACCACTCAGGATCTGTTCCCAGTGGTAAATCTCCATCCTGACTTTATCCCAGAGCTGCAGAGTTAGTGCAGCAGCAGGGAGGGGGGTGATGAGGAAGTGCTATGGAGGGCTCCTGGTGTCAGCCACTCCAGCATATCCTTAAATGATGTAATTGAAGAACCACAGTTTCCTTTGGGTTTGAGGGGCTTTAAACACCAGCTTGTTCCACCTCCCTGCCATGGGCAAGGACACCTTCCACTAGCTCAGGTTGCCCAGGCTGTAATGACCAAGGCAAGCACAAAGAGTGATCCAGGACACAGTTCAAAATACACCAACTAAACTTGTTAAAAAGTTCAAGCAGGAGCCAGAAAAAGACCCTGCTGTCCTCGGCTGTGGCTTAGAATCTGACCTGTCTCCCACCCCTCACCTCCAACAGCAAACCATTTTCCTTTAACCTAAACTGGAATAAATGCTTTATACCACAGTAAAATGCTGCTGGACAAGAGCTGCTGCTTTTACATCTAGAGGCACTGTAAGGCACCAAACCCTGTCTCACAGTGAAAAATCCTGAAACAGATGGGAACTCATTGCTTTTGAAGGAAATTAAAGCAGGCACAACCAGAGCACACTTACTTGTGTAACTAATGAGTAGTGCAGTGATAGAAACAGAGGCCTGACAGACCTCCACGTGATTACAGCCAGGCCTCAGCAAGGACAGGCACCATGTAAATAAATACAGAATTTGCAAGTAAATGTAATGAAATTCATGTAAATGTAGAAGTAAATGTAATGAATTCGAGTTTTGCAGTAAACAAAAGGCAGACTTACTCTTTGCAAAGGAATCTGTCATTATAGATCTCCTTTAAACCAATAAATTGTTGCTGTTGAATCCATCTCAGCTTATGGAGCTTGTCAACAAATCCTCAGAATTGTGTCCAGACCTTCTCCAGCCTCTCCTCCCATTGTGGCTGCTCTTGGAGGACATTCCAACATGAAGGTGATGAAAACAGCCCCAAGCAACCAGTTTGGGTACAAGGAGCTCTGCTGCCACACACGTCACCGGGGCTTATACGACCTGATTCTCAGGTTGGGAACCAGTATGGAAATCCATGGAAGTATATGAGCTCCAGTCTTCTAAACCTGTTTTGGGCTTGGGAAGTCTGTCTAGACAGGACAGAAAGTGTTTGTAAAGTGAGGCTGGGGTTTGATGCTGGTGCCTGAGAGTGGGTCAGCTCCAATGGGACACTTGCCCTTGTGTGTGACTGCTCTGAGGGCGTGGGGGAAAATGGGGGCACTGAGGGGGAGCTTGGGGAGGGGATGTTGTGATGGGCACATTGAGAGGGAATGTCCACAGTGGAATTGAGAGGGGAAACTGCAGGGGGTAACTGAGAGGGGACACGCTGAGGGGGACACTGAGAGAGATCATGTCTGTGGACCGAGAGGGGAAGTTGAGAGGTGACTGAGGGGAAACTGAGAAGGGAGACTGCAAGGAGGACGGCTGTGAAGGGGGCATTGAGAGCGGACATCTATGGTGAGACTGAGAAGGCAAACTGGAAATACAACTGTGAGGGACTGATAGGTGTCTGAGAGGAAAAATTGAGGATGATTCAGGGAGAGATGAGAGGGGATCATCCGTGGTGGGACTGAGAGGAGAGACTGGGGTGAGGGCTCTGAGGAGTATGAGGGGAGGAAAGACTATGAGGGGGCATTGAGCTATCCATGGTGGGACTGAAAGGGGAGGTTGTGTGGGTGACTCTGAAAGGACTGAGAGGGGAAGGGGGTTCATGGGGAGACGTGGAGGGGACACTGTGCAGGGGCACGGCGATGGACATCTGAGGGGAGTCAGAGAGGGGACTGTGGGGGGAGACTGGCAAACGACTGAAGTGAGGGCTCTGAGGGACTGAAGGGAGACTCTGAAGGGCCAATGAGCCATCCATGGTGGGACTGCGAGGGGAGACTGTGGGGGTTCCTACGAGGGGACTGAGGAGAAACGGGGACTGTGGGGAGGCACGGAGGCGTCGCTGTGAGGGGAGCGCTGAGACATCTCTGGTGGGACTGAGGGGAGACTGCGGGGGACGCTGTGAGGGGGGAACAGACATCTGAGGGGAGTCGGAACACTCTGAGGGGACAGCTCGGGGTCCTGAGGAGGAGCCCCGGCAGGAGCAAACAGGAAAGACCGAGGCGAGGACTTGAGGGTGGCGGGGAAGAAATGCACTCTGAGGGGACTGAAGAGAGACTATGAGGGGGCACCGGGAGCAGAGCAGGCACCTGAGACATCTGAGGGCAAACGGAGAGGGGACGCTGTGAGAGGGTGCTGCGGGGTGAAACCCCGACTGGAGCAAACAGGGCAGACCGAAGCGGTAGCGGGGCGCACCGAGGCGGGGCGGGACGGCGGAGAACGAGCGCACGGCACCGCCGGCACGGTGTGTGGGGCGGGGTCGCCGCCCGACCCTCCCGCCGTGCCCGAGCCCCTCAGCGGAGCAACTGAGGACGGCGCCGGCCGCTTCCGGCGCCGCGCGCGCCTTTCCGGCAGGGCGGGGCCGCGCCGCGAGCGCGGTGACGCAGCGCGCAGGCCCCGCCCCCGCCCCGCCCCCGAGGGCTCTGGAAAAGAGAAGAGAAAAAAAAACTTTTTTTTTTAATTGAGGAATCAACAGCCGCCATCTTGTCGCGGAGCCGGAGCGCGGCGCGGGCGGAGCGGGCCGGGCCGGGCCGGGCCGGGGCAGCGGGGCCGCCCCGCCGCCGCACGGGGCAGCCGCGCCGAGCGCCGCCGACGCGCACAGGGGGCTCGAGCCAGCGGGGCGCAGCCGCCCGGAGCCAACCGACCGCCGCCGCCGCCACCGGGAGCCGCCGCCGCCGCCGCGCCGCGCTCATTGTTTTGGGGCGTTTTTGGGGGGTCGGCGCGTTTTTCCGCTCTTTGGTGATTTTTTTTCCTTTTTTTTAATTTTTGCCCCCCCCCCCCCCTCCCGCTCCCTTCTCTTCTCCTCCCCCCCCCCCCCCCCCCCCCTCCCCCGGCCGCGGGCGGGCGGCGGGCGGGGGCCGGGGCGAAGCCGCCGCCGCGGAGGGGAGGGGACGGGGCGAGGCGAGGGGAGCGTGTGGGGGGGCGGAATGCGCCCCGAGTGACGGCCTGAGCCGCCATCCGGGCACCGCGGCGGGGGGAGCGCCCGGGAGGAGCGCGGCCGGCAGGGAGGGGGCGCTGGGCCCTTCGCTCCCCGCCCCGAGCCCTCCTCCCTGCGGCCTGCGGCGGCCCGGCATGGGGGAGCGGGGGCGGCCGGCCGGGCACTGAGCGGCGCTGTTGGGTTCCCGTGCGGCGGAGGAGCGGGGACAGCGAGCTCGGCCCCCCCCGAGCACCCCCCGACAACGATCACCGGCTCCGCCGCTCCGGCCACCATGGCGGAGAACTTACTCGACGGGCCGCCCAACCCCAAGCGAGCCAAGCTCAACTCGCCGGGCTTCTCCGCCAGCGATAGCACAGGTAAGGCCGCGGGGGTGGCTCGGGTGGGGCTCTACGGCGGTTCTCCCCCACACACCCCCCCGCCCCTACCGCCCCGCCGGAGGGGGGGCCTGGGGACCGCCCGCCCTGCCGCGGTTCCTGGCGGGGGTGGGTTGGGCCTCCTGCAGTCGAAGTTACCGGGCGGGACCCGTACGCCAAGTACCGTCCCGGCTATAAATAGCGGTTGGAAAGAGACGTTTTCTGAGTTAGGTTTCCCTTCTTTTCCTCCATCATCTTCGTTTTTAGTGCCTCGGTTTGGGTGATGGGGGTGGACAGGTGAGCGGAGTGCGGGTAGGGAAGCGACCGTCCTGCTTGTTGTACAATCGTGGAATGGTTCGGGTAGGAAGGGACTTTAAAACCCGTCTTGTTCTATCTTCTGCCATGGGCAGGGACACCTTCTACTATCCCAGGTTGCTCCAAGCTCCGTCCAGCCTGGCGTTGGACACTTCTAGGGATGGGGCAGATGCCGCTTCTCTCAGCAGCCTGTGCGGAGGGCCTCACTGTCGTCAAAGGAAGGAATTACTTCCCGATACAGAATCTAAATCTACCCTCCTTCAGCTTGGAAGGGTAGTTAAGTTTCTGTCTACTCCTTAAACCCCACAGATTACCCACAGCTAATAGCCCTATACAGGCTTTTTCACTGTGCCCCTGTGTGTGACACACTACGGAATAAAAACTCCTTAATAGTTTCTTAGTCATAGAATGATATGGGTTGGAAAGAACCTTGAAGAACATCTAATTCTATCCTCCAGTTAATACTTTGTGCTTTTTTTTACCTCCCAGCCTGTGACCGAGGTTTTCGGGTATTTGGCTTAAACTGTTTCAAGCATTTTTCCTTTAAACCCCAAACGATCTGCCGATAATAATTGAAGTTGTGGGGTTTGCTCGTGTGCTGAAATGCCCAGCATCCTGGCAGTCATTGCGACTTGTCTGTGTCACGTAGTGTCTCTGGCGTGCCTTTTTCTTCAATTGTGATGGGTTTGTAGATAATAAAACAGATAAAAATGTCGTGTTTCCAGCCGGTGTGTGCCCGTTGTAAATACACACGTGTGCATAAGAGCATGTGTGCCTGGACCGGCCTCTACCGGTGTTCCGACTGTTTCAGTCCCTGAAAGAGTGGTTTCAGAAGAACTCGAAGTCTGTTGCACTTTAATTTCTGCTTTCAGAGATTAATGAATCTTGTGGAAGGGATAGTGATAAGTTAATCATGCTGTGCCTGCTGTGTTTTCATAGACTGAAAAAAAATATTACTATAATTGAGCTGATAAATTCTGTGGGTTTTTTCGTCTTGCTCAATCTATATTTGGCAACACTTTACAGATGCTTTGGTCCTTTAGGGGTTTTTTATGGAAACCTTTTTTCTCAGCCTGCAAATAAATGAAGCAAGCGAGAAAGAAACAGTATCGAATAAGAATTGTCAGGGAATATCTAAGTGAGGTCTTGTGATTGAACCCCCTTGTGTGGAAGCACTGGAATATATGGAAGGCTGATACACAAGTTGCTGCGAAATGCTCTTTGTAACTCAGGACAAATACAGTTTATAGTTCTTTAATACTTCAGCGAGAAATTTTAGACTCTCCTGGTAGCCAGTGTCTTGGCTTGGTTGTTTTTTTTTTTTTTTTTCTTTCTTCGTTCTTTTTTGAAGTTCACTTGGGCTGTTCTGGAATGCTTCAGTCTTAATTACGTCCTGTTCAGCAAGTTCTCGTGTGTCTCGGGGAGCTCTGTGTGGTGCTGGATGTGTGAACTCCAGCATCTGCAGAAAGTTCTGCAGGGCTCGGGGGGCCTGGGGGCACTGGGATGGCAAACCCCAAGTTGTATTCTGAACAAGTGTGTCCAAGGAGTTCTGTCATCGTCATGGTGTTCCATAGGCAAAAGTACCTCTCTGCCAAGGGTGTGGGTAATCTTTGTGCACTTAAAGAGAGGGTTGTTTTTAGGAAAAGCAATTCTAGGTTTGTTGCCAGCGGTTAATGCTGCTTGTTGAAGGATCGCTGAAGGTTTCCGTGCATTGTGGCAGGCGATACAAATAGTTTGAGTAGTGATTGCTGTCAAATGCCTGCTCCTGGAACTAAACCAGGCTGCTCCCTGCTGCTGGGGCTTAAATGGAAAAGTTCTGTTGCAACCTGGAAAGTGGCCTTTGTGATTGAGGGAGCCTGGGGAGATGGGTCTGAGGCTTTTGCCCTGGTTGAGCAGTGAGTTGAACAGAATTATTGTAATTGCAGTGGTAGCCCCACACTGGTGGGTGCTGTGGCTGCCGTGAGGGGGATGAGGGGGACGTGCTTTCACAGCCTCTGCGTTGGGCCTGGCTGAGCAGTTCGGCTCAAGCTTGCAAATGCTCACACCCGAGGCTCTGATGGCAGACCTGAACATTGGGCAGAAAGCTACTGCTCTCCTCCTTGTTTATATTTTCTTGATGCTTTGATGCGGTGATGTTAAGCAACTCCTTTTGTCAAGGTAAGTTTTAGCTACCTTTAATCTTTCTGATAAAAATAGCTCCTCAGCTTACCGGGGCAAAGTTTGTGCCATTGGAATTGGTCTGCTTACCTTCTGAAAATACGGCCTTTTCTGTTAAACCTAAGCAGTTAAATTCAGTGTCTGGTCTTGCAGAAGGGTGCAGAGATGAAAGGATAACAGAAATGGGTGCTGTGACCATCGTTAAGTTTCACGAGAGTCTCATTTCGCAGTTGCCTTGCTGCTCTTTGTATCAATAAGGAAGGTTAAGACTCCTGGCTGTTAACTTCACTTGCCATTGCTGTGCCATATTGAATGAGAAGACTCCTGTGGTAAAATGTCCGTGGGAAAGATTTTTCCTTGTCTAGCCAGGTAGGAGTAGTGCTTTTGTCTAATTACTGCTTTATTGGATACACAGGCATTTTCATACCTAAACATTTGTCTCTTCTGTGGCTGTTGTGAGATGTTCTCATCCAGCGCCACAGAATAAACAAGGGACTCCTACAAAAAGTAGAATTACAGTAAGTTTGCTTATGGCAGTGTGTTATTTCAATGCTGAGCATTGTGATTGTTTTGTACATTGCTGGCATTGGTCCTTCAGCAGAATATACAGAGACCTGGCAGCATTCTCGAGCTGGTCTGGGGCTGGTTGGGAAAAACGTGCCTGAATGGAGCAGCAGCACAGCTGGAGGTGTTCGGGGACCCCTGGACTGTGGTCCCTTCTGCAGGTAGCTCGGTGAGGGTCTGGGTTTCACTAAAGTCATGCTTCTGTCTGCGTTCGTTGTGTTCCCTGCAGCTTCTGCTGCTGTGGTGCCGCGCCAGTTCCAGAAACAACACAGCGTAATCTGGGCCAGAGCAGAGGTGTCCCTGACGGCATCAGGAGTTAAAAATTCCTAAAGCAGGTGAAGTTGGGAAGAAGGTGAGATGAGCAGCTTTCAAAGTCCATTAGAGCTAGGTTTTCACTTCACACTTCCTTGTGAAGGGGATTTTGTTGATTTTTAATTCTTGTTTCTTCCGTAACTTCTGATCCTGCACAGATTAAGCCACATGGCTGCTGCTGCAAAAGCTGCGGGCCAAGCTCCCCAATAACTCCTGTTCTCTTCCTGGCCTGTGTGTTGGCATCCAGGGCCCGGATTTTACACGGGGGAAAGGCTGGCCCTGTTGCACGTGCCTCCCTACGTGCCGAGATAAGTAGATCTCTGGCTGACTCCCAGAGAAGCCACAGAACTTCGCAGAAGGGAGTTCGTGTCGATGCTCAGCCTGATTTGATCCTGCTCTCCTGCCAAAAACCAGATAGGTGTATTGCAGTGCATTTAGGTTTTAGTTTGAAAAGAGGTGGACAAAAGCAAAGTAGCTTAAGGAAAGACAGCAAGGTTTTCTGAGCTTGTGTTCACATTCTTAGCAGAGACTTCAGATGGAGTGATTTCTCGTTGATCTAAACCCAGATTTTGTTTGGGCACGCGGAAGCGTTAGTATGGATGTTTTAAAAAGTTCATTCCTTCGTGGCTGGAAAGCTTCATGGAAGCCTGTGTAATCGGTCTGCTCTTGTTTTGTGTGATATCTGCAAAACTTGAGTGTCCCATGTGTGCTGTGGCAGTAAGAATCGCAGTTACACACGTGCTTCCTTATTCTCTCCCTGGAACAAGGAAAAGGATAATTTCATTAAGTGAACACACTCTCATTTATAGGCAGAAAATTTAGGGAAGAAGTTCATTTTCTGAAAAACTGTAGGTGAAGGAGTGTGTATAGTTGTAATTATTCCACAGGAATGTCTTTATTGTTTGTTTGTTTTGTGATACTTGTGCCCTTACTATCTGGGATGGGAAAATGAGGTTGGATATTTCATGGCTATATTGTTTCTTGTGGAATACTTCATGGTTATATTGTTTAAGACTCATGGAACCGTGGGGGTGGTGGATGGGAGAGGATGATGCCAAGCAAGATGTTTACTTTGAGCTAGAAGTTTGATACAAAATCTTAGTTTTTTTTCAACTGAAGTGACTGACCTGCATAACTTGAAGCCAGTGTTTGTCATCTGGGAGAGGAGATTTGTGAGATTAGAAATGGGCTCATTTACAGACTCTAGCTCAGCTAATTCTTGCCAGTTCCTGAGGCACTGCTGATATAGTGTATTCTCTCAATGTTTGTGGGCTTTTACAGGTTTTTCCAAGGAGTTTGACACTAATGTCTGTGTGAGATGAAAAGTTGAGCAGATGATCTGCTGGCCTGATCATATGTGACAGTCCACAGTCCTACCATTTTGCCCCTTCCTGTATTTTTGAAATTCATACTTTGATAATTGCACATGTACTGGGGACTTCAAACTTATTCTCCCTCCAATGACTTAAAGTTAACTAGGAAAATGCTGTCCTGTGCTGTGCCATAGAGCTCCTGGAGAAGCCCAGCCAGCAGGAAGAGAAGCTGTGTCTATGCTGTACTCCAGAGATCTCT